CTGGCCCCAGCAGAGGCTGCTCTAGCCAGGCAGGCAGCCCAGCTCTTAATAAGTTTTAAACAGCAGAGTCACCACGGGGGTTGCTTTGCAGAAGCCTCCCTTGCTGCACCCCTCTGTTTCAGGAAGAACACGGGTGCGTGTGGGATCATACAGCACCATGGAGACGGTGCTGGGGGGAACGGGCTTTTAAGTCAGCTTTCCCTAGGACTGGATCCTGCTTCCTCCCCCACCCTCTCCTTGCTACCTCTGATACAGAGGCAGCGGGGCTGGAGGGGGGGGGGAATGTGAGTAGTTGACTAGATGTATTGATTAGTTGACTACTTGCTTACATCCCTAGTATCTGTGTGTATCTTGTTTGCATGTGGAGAGAAAGTTCAACTCTGCTCTAGGAAATGAAGTTGAAGTGTGAGAGATGATTCTGGAAAAAGAATGTCAAGCTGATTAGTGCATAGACCACTGACTAATTGATGTTTGCTTTGGTTAAGGCTGAACTATCAATGAAAGTAACATTTTTGTGAGTGCAAAGAGGTGCTTGGGTGCCTATGATTGAAACTGCAGTTTTAAGGAATATAGGTTGCTGGAAGTACTGTACTGTGTTGGAATTTTTTTTTTTTTTTAGGAGGAGGAAGAGGAGGAAGACAACAAAATGTCAGAAGAGGCAGAGAGACGATATCAAGAGCAGCAGAGTAAACCACAAAATGAGACTACTGTCCAGACAGACCAACCAGAGGCAACAGCATGTAGTGCATTTGTGAATCTCAACTTTGAAACTGAGGGAGAGTGTCAATCTATTGCAGAAAGTAAACAAGACTTAACCGCTGTCCCTACTTAATATAAGATTTTGCATAATGCCAATTTTTTAAAATTGGCAGCTAAAATGTGGGAAAAGTCTTGCTATACTTTTTCAGTGGAATGTAATTCATTTGAAACTCTGGCCAGGAGAGAGCTAAATAATGCCTGTTCAGTCCACAGCTATCAAATCTAGGCTAAAACATTGCCAGACAGACACTTCTGTTGGAGGGGAAAAAAAAAATTTAGAGAACAAAATCAATTGGGTCTAAATTAAATATGCTACACCTTCCATCTTTTTCTGCAGTGCAGGTAAAAATTTATCTAATCTTTTCCCTGAACATCTGGTACCTGACACCTGTGGATTGAAGATAACACTGTTTTCTACTTCTAAAAAGCCTATTTTGTATTTATAAAAATCCATATTGAACATGAGCTCTCTATGAATAATTTTCTAATTAGAACTGATTTCACACAAGGCACCTTAGTGACTTCCAAGTTCCCAATGTCCTTATTTATTGTCAGCTTTTTATGTATTTATTTTTTTTAGACACGAGCTTTAACCTAAAGGGTCTGAGTGCCTGTTGAAACAATTTCCTCTTTTAAAAGGAATGTGTAAGCTCTATTTAGAACTTGCTCAGTTAAAGCTACATCAGTTGTGGAGGTCAGAGGTGCTGAGACAACAAACTCTAACAAAAGAACAGTACAAGTATCGTCTACATGAAGCACATTCTCAAACCATTTATGAGAGAGACTTCTCCTAGCCAGATACCTACATAGTTTCAGTAGGTTACAGAAGGTTCTAGGAAGTAAATTTAAAGTATGATTACTGGGCAACAGAGCTAGTGCCTGGGATTGGGTGGGAAGGGCAAAGGGGGCAGCTGCTCTGGGGCCCAGTGATTTAAAAGAGCCTGGGGCTCGCAGCTGCTGCTGCTATACAGCACCTTAGGCCCTTTAAATCACCACCACAACCCTGGGCAGCACATGTCCACTACTCCCCAGCCCCACTCCTTCCACTCCCTTTCCCCAGCTCAGTGAAGTCTGTCCTCCGGCCTGACTGGGCTTGAATTAAAGCTTATTGGTTAATGTTATAGATTATACACATTCAAATGCAAACCCTGCTGCCGCTCTGAATTTAAAATATAGTAGGAGCTGGATGGGTGGGCGGGCAGGCAGCCCAGCTCAGTCCTGACTCACACCAGGTGCCAAAGCAAACCCCGCTGCGACTGTAGTTTAAATGTAGTAAAAGCTGGACACAGGCAGCCTAGCTTCTGCTACATGTAAACTATAAAGCCATGGCAGGGTTTTGGACTCAGTGTGAGCTGGGGCTGACCTGGACTTTTACTACATTTAAAATGCAGAACTGACCTGCTGCGGATTTGCATTTGAGTGTATGTAGTTGATAGCATCCCTAGTGTAGCTAAAAGTGCTCTATTTGACTGCTTGGGATGCTCTGGAGTACTTATGTGATGTTCAGTCTCCATATTATTACCTGAATGGATTATTTGTATACATCATGCAAAAATATTTTATTTGGTTGCAAGTGAGGAGTTCAGCTTTGCAGCTCTTTTCCCCTCTGAAGCATTTAAAAGTGAACTAAAAATACAGGCTATATTTCAATATTAGAAATTGCTTCTTTGAGAGATTCTGTTTAGCTGAAGAACTAATCAAAATTGCTTTTCAGGCTTTTCAGTTAAAATTTCTTTCAAAATCTATGTAACTGAAATTAAGACTAAGCTTTCTTTTAAAATTGTAGCATCTGCATCTTTGTATTGGAAACAGTTGTATCCAGGGGAAGACGCTGCTCTTCTACTTAGAGGCTACTGTAAATCAGGAGCAAATGATGATTAGGGAGGAAGAAGTTAACTAAGGAAAGAATCAATTTTCTTTGCTAACTTACAAAAAAAATTTTTTTCAGACCACTCACACCTGAGTTCTTTAGGGTAAGGGAGGAAGGAACTGGCGTATTCCCCAAGCTTTTGCTGTGGAGAGTGTTGGTAGGTAAATATAATAGGGGTGTACAGTTTTGTCTACTAATTTCAAATGAAAATGTTACTGTAAAATTATGAGAAACAAATCTTGAGTGAGATTCTTGTGCAGTACGGCCCACAAGGGGCAAAGTTGCCACCTTTAGAGCTTTCTGATTCTGACTACTCTAAGGGACTTCCTGACCTATGACAATCTTCCTGAGGTGTGGTACTACCAAGAATGTCTACTGTGCCCCATACACTAGGACTTGTTTAGGATCCATTGCAGAGCTAAATAAGGTAGCTTTGTATAGCACTTGAGCTAAGGGAATTCTTGCTGTGCCAGGTATGGGTCTTTTACTGGTCTCTCTGGTCCTTCAGCAGCAATCTTAATCAACTGCCGCCTTTGACCCACTGTCCTTTACCTCTTAGCTTTTGATGAACATAAATAGGCAACATCCTTAGTAATGAACATCAGTGAGAGGTAGTTTGAATCAATTGTTGGAGAAACAATTGGTAATAGATAATATACTTAGAGCCAGCATTGTCTAAAATTGGTATCTGCTCAGGGCAAAAGGCTAGACTAATGAATAAAATCTTTATTAATGGAGAGATGGATGTTTAGCTTTTTCTGCCAGAAGCTTATCATGTGACTGCACTATTGTCTATTTTCTTGTACTTTCTGTTGCAATGAGCAATGAATGCTCATTGTCATGTTAAAGTTCTGTGTATAAAATGTATTACTCAATGTGCCTTAATACTTAATCCTTCCTTCAGTTTATGCAAAATAAGTGGTTTAACATTTGCTGTAAATGCATAATATTACTGGTTATTTTATATTTAATATAATTTTGAACTGTATTTGGCTCTGCTTTTCTTATTTGGTGTAGATCTAGCTCCCTTGTTATGTGCCTGGATCCAGGGGTCCTCAGGTTACTCAGTCTTTGCGTCAGAACAATTAGATGCATGCTTGTAAAAGTCTGTCCTGTTAGCAGAATCTGTTTACACACAGTAGCTCAAGAGTGTCTCATTTGCTGCAACCCACAAAGTACATGCTGAGCTGAAGTCTACCCCCATGTGTACTGAGATGTCAGTTATAAAGTTCATCATCTGATTGACATAAATATGAATCAGTCCAAGGGCAGCATTGTTACTTTAGCTTAATTCCTTCCAAACTGTGGTGACTTACTAATATTGCTCTCTTCCTGTAGAAGTCAAAGTCACTGTATGCATAACTCACCCTTCAGAGGTAATATACAGGAATGAAAGTAAAGCCTTGTTACATACAGAAAGTGTATCTGTTTGACTAGTGGTATGATTTGATTAAACTAGTGCATACCCTGCTCTAAATACTCACTTGCACTAAGTTTAATGCATTCTTAATAGACTTAAGCTAAGCTACAATCGACCACTCTTTAAATTACTGTAAACCCTTCTGCAAATACACTATTAATGTTCTGAAATATTCAAGTTGAATAAGTGCAACTTTTTCATAAGACACACACACAAAGTACTGAATGGAATGATGGAACTATCACAGATGCTAGGACAGTAATTCCTCATTTAACATTATAAATGTTCATGCTAAGCAGGGTCAATTTTCCCATTAAAAATAATGGAAAAGATGGGGGTTGCATTTCAGGTGGTGGTGGGTCTTCATTATTAGATATCTAGCAACAAAAGTTGCTGTGGTTTGTTAAAACAAACATGTGAGTGAGCCGAGGAGCGCTGTGATCACGTGTATTCATCTGCTCATGCATATTACCACTGTTTTCACCAACTTATCCAGCCACGCAAAGTAGTCTGACACTTGATTATTTTCATGTTGAGGACGGTCGTGTTGTTAGAAAAACGTTCCCTAAAAAAACCATCATGCTATTGCAAAAACGTGTTAAGCAGGCATGTGTTAAATGAATAATTACTGTATGTGTATTAAATTCTGCTTGTCACATCAGTTATTCTCCATCTTACCATACAAATTCAAATTTGTATTCATACAAAATCATCTACAGTTTAATAGGGGGGAGGGTAAGAGAAACAATACATAGTGTACAACAACATGCTTAAGATTTTTTTTCTTAATAGAAGCAGAGTTTAGACCAATCCCAAGATTCCTACTGGCTTCACTAGAAGCAGAGAGAGGCAAACACTGGGCACTACTGGAAATACCATCCTTAATACTCTGCAGGTTTTACTATTCATCCTAGAACAAAATGTCTGAAGAGAAATGTTACTTGCAACTGTAGGCTGAAGAAAGATTCCAAACAATCTCTTCAGATTACTAAAGTCAGACCACTATTGCCATCACCATTTGCCACTGACAATTCCCATACAATGTTTTAATACCACCCATCTGGGGGAAGATGGAAGCGTCTGATCTGGATAATGAATAGGACTGCAGCTTTAGAGTTGGAGCACATTTAGGCGCATCTCCATGAGTACTATGTATTCCTGTTAAGTATCGTCAATATCTGTAGTACTGTCATTATCACTTGCTACAAGTACTTCTCTGTTCTCATAGGTCCAGAAGCCATTCAGATCAATTAGAATGCTGGTAACAGTGTCTCCTTGACTACTGTTGATTAAGTCTTGAAGGGAGATCTTGTATGGATCCTTTGGCTTTACCATATCAAAAATTTCATCCTATAAAAGGAAAACCATAAAATGAAAGGGCATATCTATAAGCACAATGGTGATTGATTTATCCATAGCAAGTATAGAATATTTGGGCAGTCTATGCCACCTACTCAGGAAGCTTTGATCTAAAACAGATTGCATCTTAAATCCCAGTTTTTTGACCATTTATTTACCAGTCATCATTTCATTGAGACACAACTGCCATAAAATTATAAAGCTAAGTTCATACACTATCCCCTCTAGTAATAAACTTACTAAATCAGAGAGGAAGTATGGTGGGTTCAGAAAGATAGCATGAAGCCCTACCTAATTTGAGAAAGCAAAGCAATCAGGCAACCCCCTCCTTCCCTCCATCTTATAGAATCTTCTCTTCATAAAACATTAATCACTTGCAATATTTCAAGACTTCTCAAACTAAATAGGGAACTGCTAGCTGCTGTTATACTAAAGTGGTATCAATAACATGCAGTATGCTTTTAATTAATGCTAGGAGTGCAGGGGACTGGGTTTGATGACCTCTTAAGGTTCCTTCCAGTTCTAGTATTCTGAGTCTGGCAGTTCTCAAGGTAGATCTATTTGATTTATTTACCAGCAAGATAAAATTCTAATTATTGAAAAAAGGTTGCCAAGCATCTAATAGCAACAGTAGGGCGCTCTGTACGCTTACTGTAAGTACATTTTTTCAGATGCAGTTACTAAGAGAAGCTTAGTACTAAAAGCTTTGCTTCCAGAATAATTAACCTAGAATTAAAGGGAATTTTCAAGGTCCTGTTACTGACAAATTGCATTTTTTTTTTACAGCATGGCAAAGTTGATTTAACACCTTGCAAATACCCAGTGGCTACAATACTGTGCAAATAAAATTTTCAAATGTTTAAATTCCAATGATGCGTGTACAGTACTCTGTATTTTAGGGAACACTTACCTTGACATCTTGGAAAGAAACTGGTTCTTGTCCATGAATTTTCATTTGTTCCTGAATAGCCTATCAAAAAAGAAAAGCTCAATTACAAAGCAGTTAAAAGCAAAGAAACAAAAATGAGAATGTAGTGTTCTACAGTTGCTCAGTACTAGATTTTTAAAAATATTTTGAATAGTCTAAAAGACAACGTGGGTGAGATCTTTTATTGGATAAATTCCATGTAAGCTTGTCTCTCTCACCAACAGAAGTTGGCCCAATAAAAGGCAAAACTGGATGGATTACGGTCAAGCACTATGAGTGTGTCCACACTGCAAATGAAAGCATGCATAGCAGGAGAAATGTAACTGGATAAAGAGACATAGGTTAGCTCCGTCTCAGCTAGTGTCCTAAAAATATTGTGGCACAGGTCAGACACTTAATTAGTACAAACTCACCTAACGCTGGGTTGGTAGCCTTTCTTCTCCTCCTCTCCCCCCATCCCTCTCCCCAAGCCCGTCTTGAGCCACGGCTGGGGATAGAGGGATGGATTTAGGGTAGTGGGGCCATTCACGTGGGTTGGTGGCCAGCAATATGGCGAGTCCTGGGCCCAGCTGGCCACTCAGGAGGTGTTCTTGAACAAATGGACTCTCTCAGATGGAAGACAGACAGACATACAAACTCTCTAAAATGAACATTTCTGAATACTAGCTGTACCCTAGTGGCCTGCCATGCTCCATTACAAAGATGACTGCATTATAGTGATACTGTATCATGATTACATAGTTTGTAAAATATTTTGGGATGAAGTGTGTTGCATACGCTGAATTAAATGTTTAGCTTCCACAGAAAAAAATATAACTAGTTCTGTAGTAACTGAATGAAACCGTGGCAGATTAAAGCAATGAATAAGTTGAACAAATGTAATTTTGTGGTGTAAAATGTATTTGAACTCCACACCACATAGAACTATATTCTAGTACAGTCAATTTGAAGCAAAATAGTCTTTTACCAAGATGTTTTTATTAGACAAAATTTGAAATAGCACTTTACATATTAAATTTAGAAACTTGATGAATAAAGACAGTGATTCTTTACCCGAGGAGAGATTTGAATTGAGGCACAGAACATGGTTCATGCACTAAATAATTCTGTCCCTATTTTTGAGTGAACCTATGTAAATTATGCAAGAGGGGAAGAAAAAAATAAGTACTCAGAAGGTGAAGGACTAATCAATGTTTGTTACAGAGTTCTATGTCTATTTTCTGTAGAAAACTACTTTGAAAGATGGATTCTGGTTCATTAAAATAATGCACAGCTAAACTAAATCCCAAGAAAATGGAAGAGAAAGTATCTTTACACAATGCACTAACAAATTAATAAGTTGACTGAGTGAAGCCATGCAACATGGCAATAACCTATCCAATAGTATTTAGCAACAGAGATATCTCATTACAAAGAACACATGATGTCAATAAGTTGAGAGTCTAACTTAAGGGCCTCATCAAATGTTCACTAAGTCACGGAGAGTCTTTCCACTCATTTCAATAGGCAGTGGATCAGTGAGGACAGAGGGAAAAGAGCATGAAATAGCAAAGAATGCAGATTTACCTTGTGAAATGGGCAATCATGCTTTATGTCATTCAAGAACTACCACAAGTGGTTTTCTATCTATTGTGACAGAACTGTCACTAAGTCCTTTTACTACAATATTCTGGCACCACGTGAACCACCAGCAACAAGTCAATACTGAAGTGAATCTGTATGGAATGCAGCTGAGGCTGGATTCTGTACAAGTACTCAGTGAAAAAGCTTTGAAACTGTTCCAGTGTTTATTTGGAAGACTTCTGTTGAAAGATCCTGCTTTTCCAGACTGATATAATTGATGCCACTACCAGTAAAGGGTTTTTGTTTAATAGACAGTAAGTTTATTACTGAACAACAGCAAAGAAGGTATAAGACTATAAATAAGACTTTATGAGCTATATCTGAATGTTCAATAAGCTGAATGAATATGTACTTGTTCCTGATTTGGACAGTGCAGGCTTAAGTACAATAAAATGCAGCTGATTTTAGAATGCTGGTACAAAGTGCCATGTGCAGATAAATTTAGAATCACAACTACTTTTTGTTATCTGACAATTGTTATTAAAGAAGGATCAGGCAAATCATTCCTGTTAGAATAAGGGCTAAGATCCCCAAGCTTATTACACCAAAAAGAAATTGTAATTTTTCTTGCAGTCTATTTTCTGCATATATAAGCACAGCATAAGATTTTAAGCAGATTCAACCATATGGAAATTTTGAAGGGAGAGTTGTAGCCAAAGAGACAGAAAGTTACAGATAAGTAAACTTGGAATTGGAGTAATTGTAATGACTTTTAATGAAAGCTTTAACTATTGGAGCCTTCCTCACTGTTAAATATTGAGAAAAATATTTATGATTCACAGAGCCTAGAAAATGCAACCAGTTTTTAGTATGCAATCTTGAAATACTAGTTAATGAATGAAACATGTGAAAATGCTAGTCAGTAAACGCAACTGTGACATATCTCACCAAGTCTTTGTGATGCCAGCTAATACACAACTGGAGTATTGGTACAGAAGGGGACAGTTTGTCCAGGGAAGGCAGACAAGGAAAAAAAAGGAGGTGGTGTAAAAATGTGTACACTTGCACAGAGTTTGAGATGGAAATAGGAGACAGACTTATTGATAGGTATAAAAGGGATAAAAAAAACCAAGGGGGAGATATCATGACAGGGGTCTATTCCAGACTGCCTAACTTTTTAAAAAACAATTTACAAAATCATCCAAAGCACAGGATTTGGAAGTAAACTATGCAGGCAACTCTTGAAAAAATAATACATCAGGGCACAGATTATCCAACAAGTTATTAGAATGTTTTGCAGACAATGTTTTAGTTCAGAAGATGGAGAAAGCTACTAAGGGAGAGGCTGTTATAGACTGATTTTGACAGAGGGAGAAACTGGTAATAGCATTTGCAAGTGAAAGGCAGCTTAGGTGAAAGTGATCATGAAATGGTAGATTTCATGATGCTAGGAAGTAGCAGGAGGGAAAACACCACAATGAAGGTAATGGATTTTAAGAAGGCAGACTTTAGCAAATTCAGGTAGTTGACAGGTAAGATCCCATGGGAAGCAAGTATAAAGGGAAAACACTTCATGAGTTGGTAGTTTTTCAAAGCAGCATCATAACAAGCACAAGAACAAACTATCTCACTACATAGGAAATAGACCACTTTAACCAGGACATCTTCAATGATCTAACTAAAAAAGAGTCCTACATGAAGTGGGAAGGAAGTCAAATTACAAAGCATAGATATAAACAAGTAACACTAGTAAGTAGGGACAAAATTAGAAAGGAAAAGGCACAAAATGAAATTAAACTAGTTAAAGCCAGAATGGGCAGGAAGAAACATTTTACAATTACATTAGAAGCAAGAGGAAGATCAAGGACAAGGTAGGCCCATTACTCAGTGGGGGGAGGGAGGGGTTGACATTAAGGCTGTGTCCAGACTCAGGGGTTTTTTCGGGAAAAGTAGCCTTTTCCCGAAAAAACTTCCCCTGCGTCCAGACTCAAGCCGCGTTCTTTCGAAATTAATTCGAAAGAACGCGGCTTTTCTTTCGATGGCGGTAAACCTCAATTTACGAGGAAGAATGCCTTCTTTCGAAAGTTCCTCTTCAATGTAAATAGGGCGTCTTCGAAAGAGAGCATCCAGACTCACTGGATGCTTTCTTTCGAAAAAGCAAGCCGCTTTTTCGAAATTTCTCCGTGCAGTCTAGACGCTTTCTTTCGAAAGAGGCTCTTTCGAAAGATGCTTTCGAAAGAGCCTCTTTCGAAAGAAGCCTGCAGTCTAGACATAGCCTAACAGAAAAACATGGAAATGGCAGAAATACTGACTTTTTTTGTTTGGTTTTCACCAAAAAGCTTAACAACAATGTAATGACTAACAGCGAATGACAATGAAAATGAGGTAGGATCAGAGGCAAAAATAAGAAAAGGACAAGATAGATTACTTAGACAAATCAGATGTTTTCAAGTCACCAGGCCTGATGAAATATATCCTATCATACTCAAGAGGCTGACTTGGGAGATATCAGACCCATTAGTGATTATCTTTGAAAATTAATGGAAGACAAAAGAGATTCCAGAGGATTGGAAAGGGGCAAATATAGTGCCAAAAAAGGACAATCTGAGGAATTACAGATCAGTTAACTTAACTTCAATATCCAGAAAGGTAATGAAGCAAATCCTTAATCAATTTGCAAACACCCAGAAACTAATAAAGGTGACAAGTAAGAATGAGCATGGATTTGTCAAGAACAAATTCTGTCAAACTAACTTAATAGCTTTGTGACAAGCATTGTGGATGGGAGAGAAGTGGTAGATGTGGTATATCCTGACTTTGGTAAAGCTTTTGATATGGTCTTGCATGACCTCATAAACAAACTAAGATAATACTACTTACATGGAGCTAGTATAAGGTGGATAACCATTCATAAAGAGTAGTTATCAATGGTTCACAGTCAAGCTGGAAGGGCATAAAGCGTGGGGTCTTGCAGGAAACAGTTTTGGGCATGGATGAGTTCAATATATTCATCAACGAAAATGGCATACAGAAGTGGTTCCCAGCCTTTTTTATGCTGTGGACTGGCAAACCCATTCACAAACATTTGGCAGACTGCTATATTTTTTACATATTCATTATGAAAGTAATGAATATGCAAATACAGAAATAAAATGTTACCAGTCTTCCTAGCCCCAACCTAGCCCTTAGGTCCCCAATGCCTAACATCCTTTGACCCCAACTCCTATGGCACATGCCCTTGGTAGTGGTTAAAATCCCTGACCACTACAGCCCATGCCAACACCCTTTTGCTCCATGACCCCACCATGTCCCCACCCATCACCCTTCTGTCCCCATCCCACCCCACACCCTGTCAACAGAGCGAGGCTGCCTGCTCTAGGGACTGTGGCTGTTACTGCCGCGTGGGCAGGGAGAGCAGCCCCTCCTTCCCCAAGCGCATCTTGCACCCCCATGGGTGGGGAGGGGGAGTGTGGAGCCCCAGCCATCCACCATTACGGGGTAGGGAGGAAGGTGCCTCCTCCTCCCACCGCTTTAGCTCCAGTGCTACCACAAGCGGCCACACAAGTGGGGAGGGGCAAGTCAGAGGCATGTCCTGCTCTGCCTCAGCCCCAGTGCCGCTGGCAGCAAAAGAGCTGAGCGGGTGGGAGGAAGGGAGAAGAAGAGCCCTGGGAAGGTGTCTCCTGCTCCGCCTCCTCCTGCCGTCACCAGCAAAGCAGCTGCATGTGCGGGGGAGTGGCCGTTGGCAGTGAGTGCACCTCCCTCCTCCTTCGTGTCCTCTCCCTCCCCAAGCACGTCTCCCCAAGTGCAGAGTGGGGAGGAGGGAGGAAGGTGCCTTCTACTCCATTTCCTGCTGCTGTCTGAGTCACCACAGCTGCCAGAGGTGAGCCACTGGGAACAGCCGGCTTGAGTGCTTACAGCCACTGCGACCCCAAGCTTGGAGGGGTTGCAAGTGCTTTTGAGGATAAAATTCAAATTCAAAATGATTTGGACAAACTGGAGAAATGGTCTGAAGTAAATAGGATGAAATTCAATACGGACAACTGCAAAGTACTTCACTTAGGAAGAAACAATCAGTTGCACACATATACAATGGGAAATGACTACCTACAAAGGAGTACTGCAGAAAGGGATCTGGGGTTCACAATGGAGCACATGCTAAATATGAGTCAACAGTATAACACAGTCGCAAAAACACAAACATTCTGACATGTATTAGAAGCAGTGTTATAAGAACGACACAAGTAGTAATTTTTTGGCTCTACTCCATGCTGTTTAGGCCTCAACTGAGTACGAGTTGCGAACGGTCGGCTTACAACCATTCGCATTTACAACCGAAGCTGTCGTAAATTGCAGACCCCAAGTTACGAATGTGATCCGCGCTTACGAACAGCGCGGTCATGTGTAACTCTTTGGGGTCCAACTTACGAACAAACCGAGTTACAACCAATTACTTGGTCCGTAACCAGTTCGTAAGTCGGGAAGAGGCTGTCCAGTTCTGGGTGCCTCATTTCAGGAAGCATATGGACAAATTAGAACAAATGATTAAAGGTATAGAAAACATGACCAAGGAAGCAAGAGTGGTTTGTTTAGTGTGGAGAACAAAAGAATAACCGTTTTCAAGTACATAAAAGGAGGAGGGAGAAAAATTGTTTTAATTAACCTCTGAGAATAGAACGAGATGAAATGGGCTTAAACTGGAGCAATGGAGTTTTAGATTGGACATTAGGAATAAATTCGGGATGGTTAAACATTGGAATAAATTGCCCAGGGAAGTTGCAGATCTCCATCATTGGAAATTTTTAAGAGCAGGCTAGATAAACACCTGCTATGGATGGTGTAGATGGTGCGTGGTCCTGCCATGAGTGCAAGGGACTAATTATATGACCTCTTGAGGTCCCTTCCAGTCCTATGATTCTGTGATTTGCACAGTGAATATAAAATCCTTTAAGTGACTGCACAGAACTATCATTGCATTTTCTCTTACTTACAATACATTTTGGATCCCCTGAGGCACTGAAACTCTTTGTACTAAGAAATTTAAACCATCCTATACAGTTGACTATTTTTAAACTTGTAAGTAAGTATTCATTATGGAGCAATTTCAACTATTGGAAAAACAAAATTATTTTCTATTGATTTAAATTAAATCAAAGCAGTTTAGTTTCTAATGTAGATAAGATGCTGAAATGCCTTTTGAATTATTTCCCAGTTTTAGAATGTGAAGTTTTAACATTTTAAATCTTTTTTAAAGTTGACAAAAACCTCATAGTGGGCATAGATAATTTAAAGTGATTCCCTGCAGATCTGTAAGTAGAAGCACACAGACTCTAAAAACTCTCTCACACACATATAGAGACTTACCCTAAAGAAATAATTCAGGGAAAAAACATTCAGGTATCCTTTGTTCTCTATATCAAGCAGTTTGAAAATATATTGTAGAGCTGCAGGTTCCTTTCTGTTTTCTAATGCAAGTACAAAGTCCAGGTAGGTCTTATAATCCTAAAAGAAAATACAATCATGATTATTACAGTCATCTTTTTAAATTGATTTTGCAAGCAGGAACATTGTAATTGGAGGCTATTTCACTATAGGGGAGCAATTAGGTTTTTTTGGAAGACAACACGAAACAGAAAATGGTGACTGCCGTTGAAGTTGGTTTCTGTGGTTTAGATGAGGTAGCATACCCATACTTTTCACTGACATTTTATATGAAAACTAACGAGTCTATTCAGAAATCCTAATAAAACAGGCTTTATATATTTAAACAATACTTGTTTATTATGTACTTAGATTGCCAAGCATAATCCAGTTGACTGAGATGGGAACCATATGACAAAGTGGTTCCCAAAAATTTCCTCCACTTCCAGTTAATAGTTTATAGCACTTAAATATTGATAAGTTTGCCATTGGCTAAAAGTGACTCACATGATCAACTGACCTAAAACACAGAACTCTCAGAATAAGATAACCCATGCTGCAAAACAAATGGACCCTGACATAAGACATTAAATATAGTAGAATTTGGACCATGCTTTCTCTTTTTTCTGTTAGTGCCACTGCTTTGGTTTCTTTATCACACTACAACAATTAACTATAACTACCTACATAGGTTACATATAAGCTGGATTTTTATGCATTCATCACAACTTCCCCTCCTTCCCCCGGCTTCCACTTTAGCTCCAAATTGGAGCCCCAGACCTGATAGGATGAAATCACAACTAAATTTACATTTTGTAAATCTTTTCAACATAAAAACTAAAACCAGTGATACATTATAAATGAAGTGTTTCAGATAAACAATATACATATATTTTCACTGATTGTCTTTGTTCATCCTAAATCTTTATTTTTAGTTTATAGGCTCCTCATTGTCTACTCATGCTGCTGTAGGAGGCACACAACAAAACCACTATTTTTTCAGCTCATGTTAACATCACAATGAAGTTTATTATTTAACTAGTTGAACTAGCTGTTGTGTCAGCTCTCTAATGAACATTATTCAATTACTTGCCATTTGGATTTCCTTCTTTGTTTCAAGAGAGCCAAAATAATTCCAGAAACATTTCTGCTTCTTCACATTTAGTTAACATTACTGCCTTCACTTATTGGAAAGGAAAATGTATACTGGATTATCTTGGTTTGTTACAGTGGTACCTCATCTCCTTTCATCAAAATATAATGGAATAACACATTATGTTTTTTGTAATCATCAGATAATTATATTGGTTAGACTTTGCTTTGTTCTATTTGCAGAAGCAGGTACTAAATAAAACAGTCATTTTAATTTGTTCTCTATTGTAAAGATAATGCTTACGCTAAAATATTTATAATAGTTTTAGTACAAAACAACTTGTAAATCAAAGTGCAAGCTAGAGATGCACGTTACCATTTCTCCATCGTAAGTCAGACACTCTTGAAAGACACGATCTAAAAATACGTTGGTTAGAGTCCCTGTTCCATAGCGGGATAGTTCTTCCTTGCTGAGCATACCGTTGTGATCTTTGTCAAGATTTAAATACTGGCCTAGGAAGAAAAAATAGACTGAAAATACAATAAAATCTCCCAATCTCATAAAGGAACTACATTTTAATGTGACAAATCACAGGAGTGTCACTCCCTTGCCCCCAGGTCAATCAGGGCCTGGGGGTGGGGGGAGAGAGTGAATTCTTCTCTTGCCCTGCCCCCATCCTGCAAGGGGTGTGCGGCGCTTAGAGATACATGCTCTCCCTGGGGGTGTGGACAGTGCGCAAAGTCTCTCACTCCCTGCCCCCACCCTGCAAGGGATGCACGGTGCTTAGAGTCAACTCTGGTGGTTGACTCTAAGCGCCACATGACCCTAGCGGGGGAGGAGACTTTGCATGCTTCCCTATCCCCAGGCCCTGATTGGCCTGGGGGTGGGAGAGTGGCAGGGAGTTCACGGGCTGGATTAACCAGGTTGGCGGGCTGCATTTGGCCCTCGGAGGCCCTTCTGCCCACCCCGATCTAAGCAATGGGGTTTTATACACATACGGGGCCACAGAGGACAGTCTCTCACTAAATTATGCAAACTAGTGGCTGTGCATTTAGAAACATACCATAAACCCTCAATGCAGATGGAGCAGAAAACCAATTTGTTTCTTGACTTTCTTTAGAAAGTTCTTCATCCCTTAACTAAGTGAAAAGGAATCACACAGTTAGAATTCTGAAAATGCAAAGTGAATTAACAAAACACATCAAGAGATTTTTACCTCCAATAAGTCATCCAGAAAGCTGCAAGCTAAAATATCCTGTATCTTTATTTTTCCTAAAGGAAAAGAGAAAAAAAAATCTGTAACATGGTCATGTAGTTATTATACATCAGCCTGGCATTACTCACTTAAGTTGTTCCAGTTAGATAAGTGGTACTGAGTAATAAGACTACCAAGATTGGGTCCTAAAGAAATTACCACAAAAAACAAAGCAAACATTTTATTATTTATGCTTCCTAACCCCTGAGAAATAGAACTAACAAAAAAGCATAGACACAAGTTAAAACATTAAATGTAACTATAAAATACAAGCCATTTAAAAAAATAAATATTAGCAATTATAATGACATTATGCAATAAAGACTGACATAATGTGTGTCAGTTCAAAAAAATCATAATGGAATTGCACACTTTTTAAGACAGGAAATTAAGATAACAATTATGAGTGTTTTCCACAGCATCACAAGTGAAATATAAAACAACTTGGGTTTGTGCATTTGTGAATGTTATTTGCTAGGTCTATACTGAAAACTTTTAACAGAATAGTAACATTGTTTGGGTGTGATTTTTTTCTTTAATACATTTTTTATACTGGCAAAAGGTCTAATGTAGGTGTAGTTACATAGGTTGAACCTCCCTTGTTCAGCACCCTCGGGATCTAACCCATCCCAAATGAGGGAATTTGCTAGATATGGGGAGGTCCCCTGCCACTAGCCTCCCGGGACACTCCCCCTCCTTGCAGCTGGCTCTGCTCTGGCCCCACTGCCACTGGGTCCCAGCCTGCAGGGCTTGGACATGAGCTCTGGCCTACTGGGGCTCCCTGGGGATGGAGCTCCTCAGATGGGCTTCTCACCCACCAGAAGATCCCAGGGACAGGGATTGCTGGCTGCCCTGCTTCTGCCGTGCTCTACTGGGGATTCCCGGGGATGGGGCTTGCCAGCTGCCCTACTTTTACTGCTTGCTGCCCTATCCTGTTGGGGGTCCCCGGGGATAGGGCTCGCTGGTCCCACTGCTGCCCCGCCTGGGTGGGACTCCTCAGGGATGCGGATCCCAGCTGGTTCATACTCTCATGTGTCGGGG